TTGATCCAATTTTGTTAATTGTGAGCAGTATAGAGTATATATATATTATATATATATAGAGTATAAATTGTTTGTGATAATGGCAGTAGCTCATAGAAAATAACACCCTTGGAATCTCTCTATATGGAAAGCATTATCTTCTGGTGCAAAGCTGGATGCAATCCGGGTTTTGACATTCTAGGAGCCTCACTAATATGTCCCCAAGATTTTCTGCGGACTTCATTATCGTAAAATATCCATTTTTCATTTTCTGTCACCAACATTTTCAAAAATGGCTCGTTGTGTTGCCGCGGTTAGTGAGTGAGGGACTCAACCATTAAGCCTGAAAATACATTCATGCTTGTGCAAAAGATTTTCTACGGTTTTGTGCGACACATTTAGGAGCGTAGCAATTTCTCGCACTGATTGGGTGGGATTTTGATCAACAATGGCTTTAATATTGCTTGTTTCAATTTCATTTGAGCGACAGATAATAAGCATATGACATATTATAATTATTTAATAAAATCTCTTTCTTTAGGGTAACCAATTAATGAAAATTATTTGTTATATTCGTATAATATATTAATAATATCCTTTTTTTTTCATAGCCCTTTTTTTATTTATTTTTGTCTTGAATCCTTTGATTTTCATTGTCTTCATAATAGCCCTTTTATTGCTATAAATCATTGTAAGGAGTATTTTGGTTTTTTTATCGTTTGTGAGTTTTTTTTCTACATCTGTAATATAATCGGTGATGGGGCTCTCCTCAGGCTTGAGGTGATCTTATCCTTCTAGAACTTACAACTAAACTAAAACACCTATCTTATGTGAGTTGTTGGCAAGGTTTTTTAATTTTGGCTGCTAATAAGATAATGAAAAGAGGGTTTGCCAATTGTTGAGACTTTTCGAAAAATGATTTTTTTGTTTTGCGAGTAATTTTTTTACTGTTGATTAATTTAGCGCTGCTTGTATATCCAATGTTTTCATTCTCTGCATCATGGTTCCTCTTACTATTTTTCTGATTAATCCATTTTTGAAATATTGTAACTTTTTCCCAGTCGTTTTTCGGACATGATCAAACAGAGATGCACCATGATACTGGCAGAATACAACATAGCCAGTCCTATTATTCTTGTATAGATGAGGAGCTTTAGTCGTAAAGAAAGGTTAGTAATATTTTATTTAGGAAAACACACTAATGAAACTATTGGTAAGTACTGGAACTTCTGACAATTTTTTGTGCTCAAATTGATTTATATTGCAGAAGTGAGGGAAAGTAATTTCATTAGGATTTGGTGTGCCAGTTACAAAGCTTATAGAACGGTAGGTTTAATGAATGTTTGTGTAAATGTTTATTCATTCATTGGATAACGTTTCGCTTTGAAGATACGTTTTTGGTATATAATTATTGATGAAATAAAATATAACTTAATTGGTTTTCGCTTTTGCCGTATTTTATATGCCCGCCTTTTTGAGGCAAACGCTCCAACTAATTTATTTAAATTAGAGTGCGGTGGTGGTTATCTAATGAAAATAAATTGCATTTAAAAATTCTGAGAGGGTATAATATTATAAACGTTAAAAGTTTAAAAAAAGCTTGACTCCGTTAAACAAACTGATTAGGCTAATAGCTTCATTAACTTCGACCCTGTTACTCCGCGAAATTAATTTAGCTTTGAATTTATGAAGTTCTTTCTTGGGCTTTGTAAAAGCTGTTCAAAAGTGGAATTAATTTTTATTCCCCTTGAGGCTACCTCTATGAACATGATCGCTCTAATACACAAACAAGGCCATTATATAAGGCCATTGAACATACTTGTATAATGAAAAAAAAAACATAATGAAATTATCTTGTTTTTTTCGGCACTGTATTTTTTAAAACAAGACACGAAGTGAAACAGTAGATCATTGATGTTCTTTTAAAAAAATTAATCATTATGGTAGAACATTTTTCAAATATTACGATGATATTATAACTATAGTTATAATTATAAGTATAACTATAAGTATAATTATAACTAATAGTTTATTTCGAAAAAAAAATACTAAACGCTCAGTTGTATATATATTTTTTAATACCAGTGTTCAACGAATATTGCTTTTCTATTAGAATGATGTATTTTACTTTCTTTTTTTTTTTTTTTTTTTTGGAAAAGTGCCGACATAAAATTAAGCACTGTTGTATTCGGACTGAAGCCACCCAAAATAGGCAAATAATTTTTTTTTTAATTTTTCCTAATTGATTTCTTCTAAAAGTGATAATATTTAAATTAAAAAGCATATACAGCTATTAAATGTAAGCATGAGTGGGGAAAAAAAGATAATAAAATTATCATTATAAGAATTATTGGTTTTCCTTTTATTATTTTCTTTGTTTGATAGGCCTTGGAGTATTTATAAACATTTTATGCATTTTCTTCCTTTTCATTCCAAGATAATTGATGTTATAAAAAAAAAAAATATTCTTGTTGATTTGGTATATTTTCAAAAATTTCTCAAAATATATTTTCAACATTTTTTTTTTATTTTCTTAAACGCAAAAATGGACTCAATCGGATATCCAAATATTACGATGATACACAGTAGCAGTCATAGAAATTTCTATGACAGTATTTATTTTATGTACTAGATTGCTATCTACAAGATCTCCGGATATTTCTTTGCCTGTTTTGAAACGATATTCTAAAAACAAAATAAGCGGTCAAGTTGTTCGTTTTTTTTTCTCCTCCCAGTTCCTTTATTTCGTTCCATGGTGCCTTTTTTTTTCTAAACTATGACTACCGGTGATTGCCTATCCTCGTTACTATTTTCCGTGAAAATTCTTTTACTTCATGTAACGGCACAATTTTAATATTTTCTGACAAGGACAGTTTTAGATACAGGCCATTATTACTGCTCTTATCCTGGTATTAGTTAAAAATTATTACTTTTTTGTATTTTTTTGTTTAGTTTTTTGCAAGAGTTGCAGATTTACAATTAAGCACTGGTGGATCCACCAAAGAAGGACTTTCGGACTGATTCCACCCAAAATAGATAAATAAGTTTACTTTCATTTTTCCATATTGGTTTCTATGAGCAATATCAATATTCAAATAATCAAAATAAACTCTATTTTTTTTCTGTCTATAAAGTATGTATTTGCGCCTGTCAACTTATTGTTGACAATCAGCAAATGTGATGGCGATACATGATATAATGACATGACAGTCATGGGGAAGGAAAGTACTCAGCAGTACCTCTTCCCTAACTTCTTCCAATTACTTAGGTTGTCTAAAGTAATGATCCCTCATCCAACGCCTTTTTAGTCTCTTCCTCATGTTCTGAGGTGTGTCAGCTGTGGCCATGTCTCTTATAAGTCTGGTATTATGTCCATTTAAATTAGTTTAAAATCGTTGATAAAGGGTCGTTATATGTTATTTTTAAATTACAAAGCATATACAGCTATTAAATGTAAGCATGTGTCATGAAAAAAATATAATAAAATTATCATTAAAATAATTATTGTTTTTTTTGGGTGATAAATATTCAGGACGCAGTCATTAAAGAGTTTTTATAGGTGCCGACGTTTCAACCCAAACATGTGGGCCATCACTGAAGGTATTGAAGTACTCAATGCAGTACTTGAATACCTGCTCGATACACACTTTTATTCACCCACATGTTTGGGTTGAAACGTCGGCACTAATAAAAACTTTTTAATGACTGCGTCCTGAGTATTTATCACCCATGATATATAGAACAGTCGATAAACTTTCTTCAATAATTATTGTTTTTCTTTGACAGGCCTTTGAATACTGATCAAACAGTTTATATAGTTTCTACCTTTTTATTCCAAGATAATTGTCGTTATAAAAAAAAAAATCTTCTTGTTAATTTGGTATATTTTCAAAAAATTCCCAAAATATATTTTTATCTACATATATATTTTTTTAACACAAAAATAGGGTTAACTGAATACCATCTAGCAGAGGATCCATCGGTCCACATTGCACATGTTTTGAGTAAACTCAAGTCAAAGTTTATGACTTTGGAAAATCTGGAAGATTTGAAATACTTACATTTTCTTTTTTTGTAGGAAAATTTATATTAAATTTTATCCACTCTAAAATATTTCTATTATATTAAACACCAAAATTCCTCATTGTTTTTGAATATTTATATAACGTTGTAAATACGATTAAATACGATCGTAGATTATCGACAAAATCTTTAAAATTCACGTTTAAAAAAATCATCAATATTACTATAAAACGTTGTAAGACCTATTTACATTTTTCCTCAACGTTCATTGAATAATGTAAAATTATAAAAAAAAAAATTAAAAATATTTTATGTATTTAAGGTTTTTTAAGATTTGTCTTCGGCACTTCGAGATGGAGTCATGTGTCCCATCTATATGCCCAGTCAAAGTGGCTCTTCCCCTCTTCCCGCCGCCTATACTTCCTTGGAAATTTCTTATATCAAACGATCAACTCCCAGCATCCTTCCTATATCTGTTGTCTCCTCCAGCCGAAACCTTTAGTCCACTCAATAAAAACGAGATCCCGTGTTTCTGACCTCTATATTCCATTCCACAGGACAAAAACCTATGAACGTTCCTTCTTAGCCCGTTCCGTCGCCTACTGGAATTCTTTGCCACATAACATCCGTTATGCTTCTTCACTTTCAACTTTTAAATACCACCTTTTCCAATATCTCCTTACATCCCAAACAGACGATTCGCCACCATAAATTTCATTTTATGAACTGAATTTGTGAGAAGTTTTAACATAAAACAGCAATGATCTTTGACTATTATTTTTACTTTTTACTATTATCTTTTTTTTGTTTATTTCTTAGTGGTTACATACTACTTTTTAAATAATGTATATAATGTTAGAATTTTTATAAGTTAGTTTTTAGCCAGATTTGTATTAATTCATTTTTGTTAATCTAAGGGGACTTAGTCCCAAAATAAAGTTCTATTTTCTATTCTATTCTGTTTAGTGATCATAACTTCATTCACTGTTGTTCAATAGGCTCCTCTAGTGATGAAACATGGCTACCCTTTCGAAGAACACGAAATCGAGACTGAAGATGGTTACATCCTGACTTTGCATAGGATTCCTCACGGCAAGAACAATTCTGGACATGTCGGCCGGCCGGTCTTGCTGCAGCATGGTATCCTCTGTAGTTCGGCGTGCTGGCTTGTGTCGGAGCCAGACAAAGGCCTAGGTAAAGTTACCAAAAGGAAAACACGCTTTTTATCAATATGCCCTGTAATAATTATTTTAGTAAATGAAGTATTGGCTCGTTTTGGCATTTAAGGGTTCATTTTGGCTGATAGCGGGTATGATGTTTGGATACCCAACAGCAGAGGGAATACTTACAGCAGGAAGCATAGATCTCTAAACCCGGATAAAGAACCCGATGCAACCAAGTTCTGGGATTTTAGGTAATTATTTTAATTTATTATAAATGCAAGATTGCTTTTCAAGAGTATTTTTTCAAGAATAGAAAAAGGTCATTTTAATATTTATTAATTTAGGATACAAAAACTAAACAACAAACAAACAATAACACATCAGATCTCTTGTGCATACGTACAGGGACCAAACTTCCAGATAATATGTAAGGTTTTATTAGAGAGAGAGAGAGAGGAGGAAGGAAGCTTTCTCACATAAGCACGTACAGTTACAAAATAATATTTATGGTAGTATTTTTATTTAATTATAAAAACTCCTCATTTGTATTATTTCTTTTTTTTTTCTTTATTTACAATCCACTCCCCCCCCAAAAAAAAAAAATGTATTTCGCGTTGATATAAAGTGGCACTTCCGGTTACCCGATTTTGAGGAAAATGTTGCTGTCACATCTAAGGTATATACCTATCTTAAATACGTAACATCAGTTTCGTACGACTTTTAGTTTTTGAGCTAGACTGCTAATATTCAAACACACATACATACAAACACACAGACCATTTTTCGGGACTTGATCATTTCGACTCAGGGTACCTCAAAATGTGTATTTCCGTTGAAAACCCAGATTCAAAAATTTTACGGTCGCAATACTTACCCTTACTATATATTACATATATATGTAAGTGAAATTAATAATAAACAAAACATATTTTAACATCGCGATATCTATACTAATAGTGCTTCGATTTCGATGAAACTTCTTTCGGTTTTTAGGAAATTTAAATACCTTCGAAACACCTTATTACAATATCCACAAAAAAGTGTATATTTTTTGGGTTGTTCGGAATTTAATTTTACCAACCCTCGTAACTCTTTTCATAGCTTCTTTTCGTAAAAGTATGCTATATAGATAAATTTAAAGGTTGTCGAGAAAATGACTTTAGAAATGTTTTATTGAAATCGGTACATTCGATAAGGCGCTACAGTCTATAGCAAGTTTTTCTTCATTTTTTCTTTTTATTAACTTATCGAATTCTTTCAAAAGTTATATTTAGCATTTTTTCGTAACTCTGAATAATGTGAAATGATTAATTTTTTTAAATAATCCATATTAAAGGTACTTTAGAGGAAGACGTATATGAACATTGGGCATTTAAGATCTGTAAAGTGACATCAATGAGGATAAGACTTAGAGCCGTTTTTGAGAAAATTATAAAAACCAGCGACTCAACATTAGGACTAATAAAATCTCTCTTCTTAAAAAATTTTGACTATCAAGCAGAAGTGACAAAATATTTAAAAAATGAAATAAATTTTATTATTTTTACTGTAGGGTAAATAATATATATGTATATCATTCTCTACGTTTGATTTTTCCTCACCTTGGAAATAAAAAATAAATAAACAAACTGAAATCATAGGTTTTTCATCCAAGTCGATTGTGAAATTTAGAAAATAATTCATTTTAATGATGCAGTAATTTGTTTTTTGTCAAAAAGGAAAAATAATAATAAGGACGATAATATAATAAAATAAGAACGAGTAATATAATAAGGAGGATATTGATATTAAAACTGGGCAACTGAGCAGTTCTCTCTCTCCCTCTCTCTGCTGTAAAATTTGTTTCAGTGTTTTTACTTAATTTAATGTATTTTTTTAAAGCAATGAAACTTTAATGGGACTAAAGTTTTTTCGTTATAAAATCTTTGGTTTAGGGTAAAATTTTAACTACCAATTACTTAAGTTTCATTAAATGAAAAATAAACTGTAATTGGATTCAGATAAGGATTATAAGATTTTTTAAATGTATTATTTCATTCTAATGCGTCGTTTGCTTGAGTGGCAAAGAATAAAAGGAATTTTTTTAGATCGAGTTTTTGGCGAAATCAACTGAAATTCTTTTAAAGACATGTAAATAAAACTTTTGTAAAGCCTTAACTTGAAAAGTTCTAGTTGCGAAATAACAGAAAACATATTAAAAGTAAAAATTCGAGCCATACTGGAACTGATTAAAAACAAAAGTAAATATTTCATTTCAAGCCCTTGTTTTTTTTTTTTTTTATATCCTTGGTCCAGTTGCTTTAAAACAATTTGCGGGAGTATAATATGTCTACATTTTATAATATGTCTAAATGGTATTGTGGGAGATATAATTAAAGTATTTCGTTTCGCGATTCATCCTTGAATGATGTTTTTTGTAATTATTAGTACCCTTAACACTAAGTCCGCTAGGTTGACTGCCTCTCTCTTCTCTCTCTCTCTCTCTCTCTCTCTCTCTCTATATATATATATATATATATATATATATATATATATATATATATATATATTATCATCGATGATATTATAATCGAAGCTCTATTTTTTAAAAGTAGGTTAAACATTTTTAAATAATTGTTATTAAAGACATATAGAAGTAATATAGTGTACCGATTGAGCTATTTGTAGTTCTAGCTTTGAAGAGGATCCCATGGTTGACTAATAAAAAGAAAATACCGGGATCGAAACGACAATAAACAGAAGAAATGAACATTCAATAGTTTATTAAATAATAATTAAATGACTTAAATTATTTGATAAATGATTTAATTAAATTAAATATATATATATATATATATATATATATATATATATATATATAGAGAGAGAGAGAGAGAGAGAGAGAGCAGTTGGATAAAGCAGATCGATAAAGCAGTTGGAACATTTCGCTCAAATAGCGAGAAGTGGTAAGCATTATGTTATCTTTTATAATATTCTATGCTTTATAATCATGAACATAAAAAAAAATTATGATGTCCTATCTAGAGAAACAGACAGAGAGAGAGAAGAGAGAGACAGTCAACCTAGCGGACTTAGTTCTCTCTTCTCTCTCTCTCTCTCTCTCTCTCTATATATATATATATATATATATATATATACAATATTTTCTGTCCTGATGATACCTGAATTGGCAGCTTAACTGTTCAACTTTATGTTAGACACTCATGGCTTTATAGTTTGAATTTTTCTATTTATAACGTAAGAACTATTTCTTTTAAGGTCACATGCTTATTTTAGTTATATTAATATATTTTATATGTGTTATTCAGCTTTCACGAAATGGGGTACTACGACTTGCCGGCTTGCATCGACCACATTCTTGGTTTGACAAGACACAAAAAGCTCCACTACGTCGGTCATTCGCAAGGCACAGCCATATTCTTCGTCCTCGCCTCCACGAGGCCAGAATACAACGAAAAGATTAGACACATGTCTGCCCTAGCTCCAGTGGCCTTCTTGGACCATACGAGGGGGACAGTTCGAGCACTGACATACCTTGTCACTGAACTAGAGGTATACATTTCTTATTTTCTGTTTGTGACATGATTGGAAGGAAGATTTCAACACAATGCCTTAGAACTCATCCAAATATGTTTAAACGTGATTTAAACAAAAAACTGTCCCATCAGACACCAATTCTTAATCCAAATGTATTTGTAGTATAAGCGAGAGGATTACCCTTTTATTCATATAAGTAATATATGATTAATAAGAAAGCATTTTTTTAATATGTTTTTTTCCTTTCTCCGCCTTTTCAACTATCTAAGTTTTTTCTCTGGAGATTGCCAAACTTTGTCTATTTAATCAGTTACTAAAAACTCATGAATAGCAATTCGCTTTCCACTTTGATCGTAAGAGAATTTGATCACAAAATCAATAAAAAAAGGTGTCCTACAAAAGTATTGGACTGTTTGGTCTGTATAACCTCGTTATTTTGACCATTTGGGGGTGTAGGTCCCGCCGAACGGCTCAGTATTTTTTAAGGCCACCTTTTTTCTCGACCTTGTGCTCAAATTATCTTATGATTGAAGTGGAACGAGAATGGATATTTACGAGTTTTTATTACCTAATTAAATAGACTTTCCTTTTTAATCTATTTCTTTTTTTCTTTATCTATTTATTTCTATTACTTAAATATATATATATATTTTTTCGCTAAGAATTTCTGTATTTAATTTAATTTTATCTTCAAGTTACATATATTTTTTAAATATATTTTAATAGTTATTACCTTGTTATTTTAGATATATTTTTATTTATTTGATTTTTTTTTTAAGTTTTTGTTTTTGTATTGTATATATTGTATGAATGAGCCTTACTCAACTATAGTACTCCGTGCCTTTAAGTGTGGCGAAACGTATTATTTACCAATAAAAAAGGTCTGTATCAGAAGTAGAAGTAAAATAGATTCATAGAAAATAAATATTCTACACTTAAAAAAAAAAAAAAAAAAAAAAAAATTAAATAGACAGTATTTGCCGATCTTCAGATTGAAAACGTCCAAATGCCGAGAATTTATGTAAATAAAATATTTGTAGGTTACATTGAGATGAAGCTATTTACGAAGTTTGATAAAAGTAAGTTAACAATTTAAATAAAAGGATGTTAATAATTTGATAAAAGGAGTCTGTAACACGGACTATTGATGATATTTCAGATAATTAAGACTGTCTTGAAACCTTCCAATGATATTTAAACAGTAGGTTTTTATTTTTAACTTTTTGTTCTATTAAATTTTCGGATCCTAGATCATAGCGAAAGTACTTCATTTACACGAGTTTTTGGCCGACCATTGGTACATCCATATGCTGGAGAGAATTGTCTGCAGAGGTCATACTTTCACAGAGAAAATCTGCGACAATGTCCTCTTTATAATTGCTGGTTACGATTCTCAACAACTGAACATCGTACGTAAACCTGCAATTTGTTTTTATTCCTTAAATCGGTATGGTATCTAAATAATATATAAGTTTTGTAGACTTTGGTACCGATAATCTTGGACTACACTCCGGCGGGAACATCGATAAAGCAGTTGGAACATTTCGCTCAAATAGCGAGAAGGGGTAAGCATTATATTATCTTTTATAATATTCTATGCTTTATAATCATGACTATAAAAAAAAAAGTATGATGTCGTATCTAGAAATTATTTAAACTGTCAAAACATCCATCAAGAATGGAAATTCATTTATTAAAAATATTAAAAAAAGAGAGAGTATAAACTCCGCTGTAACGATCCCTATATTCTCTCTGAATCATTTCCGATATATTATCCTTTATTCGCATATATATGGACTCTAGAATCAACGATTAATTTATGATAAAATTAAACAGTTTTATTATTTTCTTTTTTTAAATTGAAGATGAATAATTTAATTCCATCCCTCTATTTCCTTCTTAAAACACGAAACTTTCCCTAAAAAGGGTTTTGACAATCGAAAAAATTATAAAATTAATTTTCTTCGAAATAATTTGTATCTAAATGCACATCTTAGATTTAATAAAAACCTGCAATGTTGGTTTTTTACAAAGGATGAATTTATAGTAGTATTAAATTTGAAAAGAATTAGAATTGATGATTTATATTCTCGAAATCTGCAATGTTCATATCATCCAGTTATTTTCGAATTTTCTATTAGCATATTAAATCATTAATTGTTTATTATGTCAACTTGCAGAGAATGAGTCTCTAAGATGGGTCAATAACCTTGAATTATTTTGGAATATTTATTTAACGTAAGTAAATTAATAATTAAAGTGTTTTCAACATTACCCGAAATATATGCTGGTTATTATATTTATAATTATCTTCAATGAACATATACCTTCATTCATCATGATTTAAGAATTTTTTAAGAACCTTATTTGGGCCTAGAGATTTAGAAAGAGTTTTATTACTGTTTTGAAAAACATCGTGAAATAGCTGGTTTATGAGTAAGTTGATTATGTATAGTGTTGTGGTTTTAAAATACATTTTTTTTATAATACTCCCTCATTGGAACTTTATTTAAATAAATTACAATATATAAGTATGCAACATAGAAATATATTTCTTTTTGCTTGGTCCTTTGCTGTTATCCGAGGACATTTTAAAGGATGGGAATAGGAATATCGGTATACTAAATATAATTGAGAATATTGAGGTTTATTTTTTATTTTAGTCATGAAATATAATATTTAATATTTAAAGTTTATTGAATATAATTTTTTTTTACAATAGGAGATAAATTTCAACAGTTTGATTATGGCTACGTCGGGAATTTAGAAAGATACCATCAACGTAATCCACCAGAATACGACTTGAGCAAAATCACGACGCCAATTATGCTTCACTATGCTAGCAACGACTGGCTAGCTGGAGTCAAAGTGAGTCAAATGTTTTTATTATTATATTATTTTGGCATTTTTATTCAACTTTTTTAAATGTAATAAACATTAATTAAAAATTATTCATCGCATCATTGAATCATATTTTCTTTCTTTTTTTTTTTACTACACGATTTCATTAGTTATTTATTTCACTTCTCAACTTTTTGTACTCCCATAATTTTATTATTCGGGTAGCATAATTAAACAATATAAGTAAAAAACTGATAAACTGCTGCATAATTTAATAAATTATGAATTATTAAAGTGCTTAAGAAAATAATGTTAAATAATGTTTAATAATATTAAAGTAATAAGAAAATAAATTATACTAAAAACATTAGGTTAAATTAACATTTTTTTTTTTCAGGACGTTCTGAAGTTGAAATCAAAATTACTTGACAGCGATTCCAGACTGGTGCCATTCCATTACTTTAACCACTTGGACTTCATGTGGGCTACAGATGTAAAAAAACTATTGTACGACGACATGATAAAGATCATGGCAAAATACTGAAAAACAAAATCGAACTTACAGAGAAAAAATTTGGAATACCTTTCATTTTTAATAATTTCTATAATTTAATAATTTCGATTTCTGAAGGATGTTATTTTGTCGATTTTTCCATTCAAGATATTGTAGTAAACATTAATAATGTCAAAACAACAATGTTAACATTGCCAGTGATTCAGTATATGACAAAATAAGTCATTCTTGGAAATACTTAATGATTATATATGTCACCAAAGATGTGTGAATGATATTTAATTTTTTCAATAAATTAATTTATTTATGCTGTCTGATTTATCGTTCCCATTAGATTGTAAATAATATTAACAAAAAAATTAAAAGCTGTATTGATGATAACGAGTATAGGTTAATGCATGTCTACGTTTCTACCAGTCTTGTAGGATTTCTCGAGGCGAAGAAACTGGAAATTCATGTAACAATAAGGAACGATCAATGACTAAAAAAAAATTGAATTAATTAAAAAAATAATCTGAAATGTTGGTATCCATCTAATAGCATATATATTATCCATCTAAAAGAAGTATATATTTTTCAATTTACTGGTTTTAAACGTCCTGCGTTTTAGAAAATATTTCAAGATGTTTTCTGGTGTGTTTTAAAGAACGTTAATTTTGTCAGGCTTATAAATACACAGACTAGGTTTGAGAATTGGACCATTAATTAAAGAATCAAATTTTCCTCCTATTTAACAACAATTTTTGATTTAACAGACAGAAAAAAAAATTGATGAAATTTACATTCAATGTGGTTCGTGAAGTTAATGTTTTAGAAATATATGATATCTATAAATCTTCGGAATAATAATCTCTCACTAAAGTAGCAATAAACATTCTCATTAAAAAAAGGAATAAACATACATAAAAGATTTACTTTTAATGAAAGGACAGGAGCTTTATTATCCGGGGCTAATAAAAAGAAATGAAATATATGTTCGTAAAAAATAAAATAGAAAGAAAAGTGAAATTTAATATCTTCACGAAGAAAAAGATTTTATGACACCGTTTTTATTCCATTGGATTGATAGCTATGCGTTTTTAATATGATGTATATTATTTCATCAAAAATGTGAATGCCTGATATTTATTATTTTGTATCGTCAGTTTAGAGTTCACCAGATAAAGAAAGTCTTATAAGTTGCATAATGTGATATAGTCTGTGGTACAGACACCTTTTTATCAAATTATTAACTTCCGGCTGAACCTTCGTAAATCAGGCGGATGTTAATAATTTGATAAAAAGGGATCTGTATCACGGACTAATAAAGTAATTATTAAATAACATATACATTTCAAAAGAATAAAAAATTCTGAGGAGTAGTGTTAGTATAGCTTCAGCTTTCTCACAATTTGTATATGTTACCTAACTACTTATGTTTCAAGATTTACGATTCATCGTTGTCATGTCGGTCTTATGCATTGAAATCTTTGATGTCATTATTGTTAATCGTAAAAAAAGAGTTAAAAGTTTAAAACTTAAAACATCATATATACACAATAAAACTGAAACGTCTAATTAATTGCTCAATACGCATTATCTTCGGGTTCTCAAGCAATACGCATATTACCCAATATTACACCGAGTTGAAATGCCTTTATCCGTCCTACCGCCGTCAGTATTTCCTTGCTACTTTCCTATACCAGGCTATTGGAACTTGGCGACTTTCCTAAATTCTACAGATCCTACAATTCAAATCCTCCATTCAACCCCGTCCCATCAGATCCCGCACGTCCGACCTCTATCCTCTTCCTCACCGAACTGCTATGTTTGACAAAACCTTTTTACTCAAGCCATCTTCTTCTGTAATTCTATCCCTTCTGATATTAGACACGCAAAGTCAGTGTCTTGTCTCAAATTTCTCCTCTTCAAGCACCTATTGCAATCCCAATCCGGTTGATCATTAAATGCACTTAAAAATATAAGTTGAAGACTCTCAAAATATCCCCAGATATTGTGTTTATTTACTTTACTTTTCTCAGTTTATTTTATATTTATGTACGTTTTTATTACTTTTCATTATCTGTACGTTTATTTTATTACCACTCATCTTGTATACATTTTATTTTATGGACCCACCAACATGCTAATTTATACTCTGTATTTATAATATGTTCTAAAACGATACTAGACCCAGAATAATAAAATTATTTTCATTTATTCATTCATATAACCTTAGTCTAAACATAGCTCCAATTTTCGTTTGTTTCATATACATCACATTGTTCGGCAATTATAATATTATTATATCGTATATTATATGTTAAGTAATTAAATACATTAATTTTTATTTTTATTACTGAGACTATTTGTACAGTATTTCTCAAATTTTCTCTCACTTTGTGCCATATTGAACGGGAATTTTTTAAAATTTAGGCCACTAAATTGAAAATATCGGGCGTAGAACTGATAATCCTACCCCGTGTACTTAAATCGGGAATCGGGAAGCAAAACCCTAACAGAAGCTAATGTTGTCCTAAATCAGTTGATTATTTTATTAAGAATATTAGTTTTATCACACATATATAGCCATTTTCAACTAAATTATGGGCGGGAACTGTCAATCTATGAATTATATTTTCCTTGTATATGGTAATAAGCAATAGTAAGATAAATGAAATTAGTACCTTGCAATAATTTTTGACTTTTAATTGACATGGGTTTAATTTAGAACATAACTAGTTTGCATATTTAGATCAAATATGAGTGTTTCCATGTTGAATAATACAATACGCTAGCGATAGCATGCACTCGACAGTTATCGGCTTATTAGATATTCAATAAACACACTCCATTAATTATCCAATTAATAAATGAACTGACGAATTTTCCTTATTGGTATATAGTAAATAATTTATTAATAGGGGTGGTTACTAAAATGAAGCTCTGATTGTTTAAAATACCGGTCAAAAACTCGAAAGTCAACGTTTTACCAATTTAGTCAGGTACCAATAAAATCAGGGACGGATCCAACAAAGTTACATACTGAAGGGTATGTAAAAAAAATAATAAATAAAAAAAAATGAATTATTCAAGGAAATTAGTCGACTGTTCTACATATCATGAGTGATAAATACTCAGGACGCATTATAAGGGTCATCATCATACATAGTTTTAAGTGTCTTGGCATGGTTCCAAGTGTTTTGTATATAGATTTTTTATTTTGTATATAGTATGTTTACTTATTTCTGTTTATTTTTACTTTTTATGATTGTTTTTATATAGGCCAGATATATTTTAATTTTGTTCTCTTTTGTTATTCTAAAGGAACTTTGTCCCAGAGTAAAATTGTTTTCTATTCTATTCTAAATAATTCATAACAACGAAAATCTTTAGGTGTGAATATCTCCTAAACAAAGCGTTTGCGGAGATACGTTCATAGTAAATGTTTTTTTTGTAGTTGGGCCACTTAACACTGAAACACCCTATGTAGATATGTATATATAATATAAGCCAAAGTATATGTATGTGTATTAGGTTTTAAAATATTAAGAGCAGTGAAATAACGAAAAGTAAGTTTTTCTGCACAGTATAGGAGTTTAAACATAATTGCAACAATTGCTGTAGCTTTAGGATGGTTGAAGATAAGATATTAAAGTAATGTATATTCTTAAAGAATGTTTAATGTTAAAAAACTTCCTTCGTAAAATAAAAAGCTAAAGTGTTAGCACGTCAATTCATGATAAAAATGGGAGCCAAAAACTTTTTTTTTCTAAGTTGATGAATAACGAGGACGGATATTCTCGGAAACTGCAGAAGATAGCGAAAAAATGAATATAACCACTTTTGTTGCAAATTTTGTCAGCTTTAATGCATTTAATTTTATGTAAACTGCAGAACCATGCGAATCCTCTCGTTTCAAACCTTACTTCCTCCTTGATCCCTGATAATCCTCCGAGGCGTCTGAGAAGAAGGTGGCCTCGGAACCTTCTAATATAGAACTTTAATTTGAATAATACAGTTGTAAATTTCATTAAAAAAATAAAAATTTTCATAAAAAATTATACGCAGATTCTTATTATCGATAGAACGCATAGCTTCACTGATATAAGCGAAAAACTGAAAAAAGTGAACCTTTTGAATCGTAAAATCAAATTTTCGACTTGAAGTTCACATGTATAATTATGACTATTATTTCATCTCTTTTGTGAGTAAATACTATAAATTTAATGGGTTGGTAGCTTTCATTATCGACAGGCCCACCTAATAAAATTTGTACCAATATCTCTTCTCCTGGACGCCATTTTGTGTTCCAGTGGATATATACTGATAGACATGAATTTTTCTCATTAGGCCTGTGGACATAGTCAATTTATAAGGACAAACTTTAGTACAAAATAAGTAACCTTTTTTGCCACAGGCTCCTGGACTAAGCTGTTTTACATAGAATCAAACCGACGTAAGCTATATAAAATGAATCAATATTATTTCATTAATAATTATTTCATAATTTATTAAAATGTACCAACCGATCATGCCGGATTCTTTCCTGTTTCCATTTAATGTATAAAAATTTGTATTTTAATCTTAATAAAATATGCGGAATATAATATAAAATTATTCAAAAAATTACATTATTTTTTCTTAAGGGTGGCGGACTCTTTCTGGGCTCGCCAATTGCATGACATGGATATTTTACTGCTTTAACAAAATTTCAGAGAATTAATGCTTTGTTTTTTAATATTGCAACCATAATTTATCTTTCATCTTTGCGTTTTGTCTATTTAATATTAGTATGATATTTTAATCAATAAGTTATTTTAAAAATAAGATGATTTTTTAATGAATTTTTTTATCTAGGCTAGCTGCATTTCTCAGACCATACAATGCATAAAATGTACATAACTATTGGAGTCATGTGATAATTTTTTATAAAACTATTAAATTACTTAGTTAATTTAATTTGCAATTGTAAATGTTTCAATTTTTTTTTTCGAGTTCAAGTAAAAAGAGAATTAAATATTTAGGTATAAACATAGTGCGAAAATTGGAACCAACTTTTGAAACACATGCTACTAATAAATTTTTCTAAAATATTTCAAATTTAATGGAATAACATATGCTGTTCGCACATTCATTGATTTCC